GGCGCTGCCTCAACGTCTGGCGCTAGCGCGTGGTGACGCCCCCTTGCCTGTGCTGCCTGCAGCGGCAGCCTGACGGCGCGGCCAGCATCTGCGCCTGCCACGCCGACCTCCGCCTGGACGGCGCCTACGTCTGCCCGCGCTGCAAGGCCCGGGTGAGCTGCCCCCCTCCCCCTCCCCGCCGCGCCGCCAACCTGCACCCCACGCTATGCCAGATGGAGGGCGCCACCTGGCCGACAGGGGCCCCCTCCCACTGCGCCGCCTGTCTTCGAGCAGCGGTACTGGATGTGCAGTGGGAGGCCTGCTTTCGCCGGGGGGTCTTTGCGCTTTTGACCCTTGTCGTGCTGACGCAGGTGTGCGAGCTGCCCACGGAGTGCCACGTGTGCAGCATCACGCTCATGTCGTCCCCCCACCTGGCGCGCAGCTACCACCACCTCTTCCCGGTGCCGCCCTACGACGAGTGGCAGGTACTGCTGCGCTGCCGCCCCACTCCGCCCCCCCCCCCGCCCCCTGCTTGGCGCGGCCCACCTTGGTGCCTCCTCCGCTGACTCGTCCCTCTGCCTGCAGGCGTCCTCCTCCTCCGCTGCGCTGCCGGCCACGTGCTTCGCCTGCCAGGCTGGGCTGCCCGGCGTTGCGGGTGAGGCGCGACCCCTGCCCGCAGCCTGAACCGCGGGTGCGGGCTCATCCTGGGTAGCGACGCGCAGACTAGCAGCGCCGTTTGGACTTGTGGTGGGGCCAACTGCAGTTGCTGTGTCTTAAGCCCGATCAAGAAGGAGCGCGGCACTCCGGCGCCTGTTGGAGGCATGGCAGACGAAGATTGTTATGTCGTCGTTCCCGGCTCGCCAGGTTGTGCCCGGGTCATTGCCGCATTGCTGACCTCGCGGTTTGGGCTGCCAGGTGGTGCGACCGGCGTGCGTCTGGTGTGCCCCCGCTGCGCGCGCCACTTTTGCTTCGACTGCGACGCCATCGTGCACGAGAGCCTGCACAACTGCCCCGGCTGCGAGTGCCGCCCAGCCGCACCCGACGACCCCCCCGGATGACCGCGGCCCAGCGCACACCCGCGCACCAGCGGGCGGCGGACCTGAACGAAGCAACACGGGCGCCTCCAACAAGGACGTTTCTGGGCCGTGGGAACGCCCCAGAACGTGTAAGCTGCGGCGAAGTGGATTGTGAACCTCACGAAGCTCGAAGGAAACAGATGGGGGCATCAAAGCTCTGGATCAGGGTGTTTCAGATGCAGACGTAGTGAAGAGAGGCGCGTCACTGCTGCTCAATAGCCAGTCTGGGAATGCAGAACCTGTCTCCCATAAAAAGGCTTTTTCGACAACCATGCTCTCACGACGCTTTAAGTTTTCCCAAATGTTCTCTCGCATCGAGTGCCAGATTGCTGCATGGTATTTTCCACGCGATTAGGGCAATCTCTGTTTCTGATTCTGTGCGGCTTAGGCTGATCTTTTGGTCTGGTCCACCCGGCGACTCCCTCCCTCTTTCATGTTGGGGGGATATGCAAGGTGTGGAAGATAGTTGCTAACATGTAGGGCAGTTGTAGACTTAGCAATGGCATTAAGTTTGGGTTTCTTTCGCTAATATTAGAAGCCCATGGCTCGTTGACTTTCGACCCTAGTTCATAGTCCAAGTTCCTCGAGCTTTTGAGTCGTCAGTCGCACACATGCCCCTTTGGACGGTAGCCTGCGAAAATCATTGGATGGTAAGGGCTGGCGCATATGGCGTACTACTTGTATCCCTGATCAGTCATTGCATTGGGCCCAAAGTAATACCAATTGGTACGCTGGTGCAAGACGTTTGGAGCGACTGCCAACATTCAAGTTGGTCATCAACAAGGGCCATCTTATCATAGGCCTTGTTGTGTAGACCGTTGGGCGTCGGCGCTAGAGCCGGGCCGATAGTTTGAAACCTATAATGACGCCTGATGAGACGGTGTGTTGTGCAGACCAATGACCATGCACTATGATCTTACCAGCTCAGTGAGCGAACTACAGCCAAGGGATTTGTCAAATATGTAGCTTTTCTCTTGTTTGTGAATAGCATTCGAGCCCGGTGAATATTATTGTCATATGGGTAGTTCTCTTAGCTCCGACATGTCCAAAATTTATGAGCTCTGCATTCGTCATACCTCTTCGTTGTTCTCACCCTGTCCACCTTGGGTGCCTTCCTCAGCATCCCAAAGTGCATCCTATTCCCCGTTCAATGCGCTTCCTGGCTTGGCTTTGAAGTGGATACAATCGCCCGCTCCTTCCGTGTCCCAGCGATTCAAATCGGCAAAGTAAAAGCCGTCCTAGCGGAAGCGCTTTCTCAGTACTACACCTCGCCTTGCATGTACTCTTGCGTCATTAGCAGGAACTCGAGTTTCATAATGGTTGCTTAGTAGTCGGGCTCGTGTCCACATGACATGTAGCCGTTTGACACATGCCTAGCTAATCCCCGTTTCGATACAATGATTTGTCACTCCGTGTGTACATATGAACTCTAGACTCTCTTCTTCAACGAGCACCCGTCCGCCTGCCCGTTGAAAATACAACGAGTATAAGAGCATCCGCCGACCTTCGTGGACCGCATCCATGTTTAGCACAGTAGCAAGAGATACATGTGGATATATCCTTTGGTGCAATGATTTGTAACGAAGAGGAATCCGGTCATGCAAAGACCCCATTTGTGCGGATGGGGCAAGAGCCGTGCGAGAGATGGCCGATAGCTTCAGCTTCCAATTCAAGGTTCTCTATCTTGCAACGCTCCACCCGAGTTTGTCCATCAAAAGCGATGTCTTGGCGCTGACAAATTGCACTGCGGAATTTACAACCCGTCTTTTTACTCTGCATGAGCACTTCTTGTATTATGCTCGTTTGTACCATTCTTACCAACTCGGTGACATGACTTGCTAAGCAATTCGACAAAGAGATTGACGAATCTATGCACCGGAGTGCCCAGATTAATAGGTAGCGCAACCGTCGTGAGTGAAGTGAGTCGTGAAGGTTTTGAATGCCTGGCAAGCCCACCGCAGGGAACGGATGTTGGGTTGACTTCATGTGTGGGTGTTCTTTTATTTTCCGTGCCAACTTGGCCTAGCCTTGTAGGGTTACAATGGGCTGTTGCCACCGGGTATGTTCTTCAGACTCTCTTATCTTCTTATCTTCTTACACCGACTCAGCGGAGGTCAGCACGAAGCCTAGCAATATACTATGAACAATATTGATGTTGTCTTCTCAAACACTGTAGCCACATGGGCCATAGGCTTCTAAGGCATACACCGGAATCAATGTTTGAGTTTCGAATGCCTAGCTACCCTCCCAAACCTCCATGTGCTACATCGGTCCAAACCCAACTCTTGGCGTATTGGCGGGCTCATGGCAACCGCTTATTCATAATATCCGCACTGACTAGCGGTTAGCTTCGATTCGGGCGGAGATGTAGACCGCGGCCTCGCGGCGGAAGGCGCATGAGCATTGATGCAAGTTTTGATGCTGCAGATGTATCTTTTCACCGGAGGGGAAAAAGGTATTGATGTATTGACATAGGTACTGTAGTACCTACAAAGCAATGCGTTCAAGTCTATTGTTAGCCAACAAAGAAACTAAAACTCAACCGTCTATGCCGTACCGTACATGTCCGACTGAGTTCACGGGTATTCGTGACTCTCCCCGGCCCCACGTCTAGTTCACAATTGTCCTGCAACGTGCGCCTTTGGACACCTTAGGATTCCTAGTCGTATTGTAGTTGTATCGACGATTCTCAGCGTTGACACGTTGCACTTTTGGCTGGCAGAGTCTGGACTCTGGCTGCAATTGATTTCCGCCTATAACATCAAAAACGAAAGTCCTATGTTTCAGAACCTAGAGTGAATATAGCAGCTATTATACCGTACCAACACGCCGGTTGGGCAGATTTTTGCCCAATAATTAATTTCGATTGATAATGGACGTTTGACAATTTGGGCAACTCGTTTTGGAAATTTTCAGAGATTTGGGCAAATCTGCATTTATTGCGAAATCTATTCTTTTACCCCTCAAATTTAATCCAAATAACAAAATTGGAATTTTGAACCATTTGAAACATTGGGCAGAGTAGGTCAATATATATCAGAATATTGGGCAAATTGTCAAAATTATTAATTTCTGATCAACCGGCGTGTTGGTACGGTAGCATGGTAGGGCTCGGCTCGTAAAGATCTAAGTGTGCTCGTTGAAAAATACAATATCCAGCTACCTAGCTTGGTAGCAGCTTCGCAGGCGGACAGTTTCGCATCAGCATTTGTGAATTTGGACCCCGAAGATATTGCCAGGTACGTACCTGTTGAAGCACGAGGGCAGCTAGCTGCTAGAGCAACTTGTTGGAAGCAAGAGGTAGGTGGGTCAGCCAGGAGGTGGAAGAAAGTGAGGGAAGCCCACATTAATATCTGAAGTGTTATGGCGGCTTCCTAGGTAGCCATCCATCAGGTCTGCATTACGCGGGACACGCTGTAGATGACAGCCTTGGATGCATTGGATGCTCTCGCACAGGCTATTTGATGGCCGTGGGAAAGAAGGGATTCATGTGACCGCATGCTTGTTGGGTTAAGTTGTCATTCAGGACATGGCACCGTGTGTTGCTTCTGTTCCTTGGCAGCAAGAAGTCGGAAGAATTGCCCATATCCTTGTCGAGAGTAGAAACAGTTTGAGCGCCCTGAAAGAATCAGAGGGTTGGCATGGAAAGCAACGCGCAACTAAGAGGAGAACCCCGCCGCATGGGAAGGTATGGCGTCTTTGCTGGAGAGTGTGCTTCTGCATCTGTCTCAATGAGTTGTGGGTGATGTCCAGCACGCGGCTCTGCTGGGGGCCCAGTGAAGGGCTCTTTTGACTGCCCTGCCTCCGCATGCTTTCTTGTTTGTTGACATTGGCAGGGTCTGGAAGTTGTCCCCACGTAGCTTCTTGTGTGTGTCTGCAGGGTGCACATGCTTCGACGCTTGGTCCCGCAACTCTGAGCAGCACCTGCCTGCTGTGCTCTCAGAAAGTGAGTAGCAGAGGGGTGCGCAGCCCGCCCAGTCAACAGAGGGCAAAGCCATCGCTGGCCCTAACGCGTCTGCCAGACCTTGGGGGTCTGAAGGCGTCCGGCGTGAGCCGGCGCCGGTCGTTGTCGGGCGCGCCTGTGCCTGCGCGTGCCTGGCTGGACAGCCTGGCTGCGCCTCGGACAGCACCGCCTGCGCCGCATGACAGGTTGCAGCAGGGGCGGAGGAGGGAGCCTCTGTTGGATGGGAGCATCGATCCGCAGGGCAGCTGGCAGGAGGAGGGGGAGGGAAGAGAGGCTGCCGCGGAGGTTGGGGTTGCTGGAGAATTGACGAGTGAGGAGTTGTGGCTGAGCGTGCGCGAGCAGCCGGGGTTCAGTGTGGAGCGGCTGGGTGGGCAGCGCATCGTGGAGCTGGTGTCGGCGTGGGACAGGCTCGCGCCGCAGCTGCCGCCGGACGTGGGCAATGGAGCAGCAGCGCAGGTCAGGCGCGCCAGATTCTGCGCACGCCTTTTCGCAGCAGACTCGTGGGCTTGCACCAAGCCTGCCTCGTGTGCTGCCACACCATTGCGAGGTTGCAGCAGGAATTGACAGGTGGCAGTGGGGCCTTGTGCGCTGTGGCCTGAGGAGCAGGGAGCATTGAACAGAATGATCTGCTGCCTGTGCGAATGAGGGATGCATGCTTCCCATGTTGCACTGAAGTCCTAGTCAGCGCAGGATCTCCACTTTTTTTACTCTGCTCTGCTTAGGCTGGTCTTCCTGGGTTGCCGAATCCCCTATTATGCTCGTGTCTGCTGCTGGCTTGTGCTCTTGTTTGCCCTGGCTCCCTTGCCCGCCCGGCCTCCTCCCCACCCCCGGCCCCCTGCCTCCCGCAGGTCTTGCTGGGTGCTCTCAAGCTTGCTGTCCCCGCGCTGCAAGGACCCTGCGTTGCAGAGGGCGGCCGCCCGCGCCTGCTCAGGGCCCTGGAGATTGCGAAAACCCTGGCCAGCCTAAAGGTCTGCGTCTCTTGCCTCGCCGTTCTTGCATGCGCCTGCACCGCCTGCCCTGCTTGCGGCCTTACTCACTGCTTTCTCTTGTGTCCCGTACTGCCTCCCCGCCTGTGCTGACGTGCTGCGGGCCTGCTGCAGATGGACGCTGCCACGCTGGCGGCGGGCGTGCTGGTGGAGGCGGTGGCGGCGGGCACGCTGAGTGAGGCGGCTGTGGAGGCGGAGCTCGGCCCTGCAGTGGGGCGCCTCTTGCACGACAGCGGCCGTGTGCGTGCTCTGCCCTCACGCGTCGACTCGTATGATGATGACACCGCACGAGCGCTGCGCCAATTCTGCCTCGCCTTCCATGACGGTGAGCCTGCACTGCCCCTCCTGAGTCGCTGCATGTGTAAAGGGCTCTTGGATTGAGCAGCAGCTCATGACCACTGAGCAGGGGGCTGCCATGTGCTGCAGCTTAAGCAAAGCATGTTGCTCAGGCCTCCTGCCCTCATCTTTGTGTCCTGTCCTGTTCGTCAGCTCTTTGCCAAGCCGTTTGCACCTCCTCACGTGCCATTGTTGTGGCTGGGTGCAGTGCGTGCCATTGTGGTGGAGCTGGCGGCGCGGCTGGAGACGATGCGGCACGTGGGCGGGCTGCCGCGGTACCAGCAGGCGCTGGTGGCGCTGGAGACGCTGGCCATCTACGCGCCCATGGCGCACGCGCTCGGCACGGGCAGCCTCATGTGGGAGCTGGAGGACGCCGCGTTCCGCGTGCTCTACCCCTCCGCCTACGCGTCGTGTGAGGCCTTCCTGCGGCGCCACTGGGCCGACAGCCCGGCTCTGCTGGACGGCGCCACGGCCGCGCTGGACGCTGCGCTGCGCCGCGACAGCCGCATGGGGCAGCTGGCGCACAGCTGGGCGCTCTCCAGCCGCACCAAGAGCCTCTACAGCTTCATGCGCAAGCAGCTCAAGTGAGGCCCCTGCGCGCACTCCGCGCTGCTCCGTATGCAGCAGGCCGATGTCAGAGCACCTCCCGTCCTGCCCCTTGACCATGGATGGTTGCGTTGTGTCAAACGCTGCGCCAGAGCGGTCCTTGTGCTGAGCGTGGTTGGGGTGACGCAGGGATGGGCGGGGCCACAGCGAGGTGTACGACCTGCTGGGCCTGCGCATGATCATTAAGCCTGTCCCTGGAGGGGGAAGAGCCGCGGAGGAGGCGCGCGGGGCGGAGGCCTGCTACCGCGTGCGCGAGGTGGCACTGCAGCTCTGGCAGGAGGTCCCGCAGCGCTACAAGGTGAGCCGCAGCAGTGCCCACCTGGTCATGGGCTACCCTCACGCGGGCCAGCATAGAACGAGGCTCCTGTGAGGGGCAGTGCGCTCTGGGGGCTGGAACTGGTCTAGGCGCCTGCGTTGGGCTGCGTTTTGCTGTGTGGCGGTGTGTGCTTACTAAGCCCTGGTTGCGGGGTTGTGCAGGACTACATTGGGAGGCCCAAGAAGAACGGGTACCAGAGCCTGCACATGCTGGTGCAGCCCGCGGGGGGCGGGGTGGCCCCCCCTGTGGAGCTGCAGGTCCGCACTGAGCGCATGGATGCGCAGGCCGTATCGGGGGCTGCCGCGCATGGAGCCTACAAGGGGGGCCTCACCGATCCTCAGCAGGTGGGGAATGCCAGCTGGCAGTCGACGCAGGTCACTCACAGCGCACTGTCTTGAGCAGCAAGTGCTACTGCAGCTGGCAGGCTCCGCCCTGGTGCTTGGGGTCCTGCTGCGCTGGCTGCTGACTGTTGGCGCGTGGGCGCTGGGTGTGCAGGTGGAGCAGCTGCGCCTCATCATGGAGGCTGCTGCGCAGATGGCCGCCGCCAGCTTCCGCACCCCGCCAGGGCGGGCCACGCCGGTGAGCACCCTGGGGCACCCAGCCTGCCTGAGCCCCTGGGGCACTGCATGAGGGGCACTGGGGTGGATCCACTCATTCTGCAGAGTGTGCTGCATTAGGCTTCGCTGCTGCAAGCCTTGTGGCTGCGGTGGTGGGAGGCGCGCCCTGACAATGGCCGCGGTGTGCAGGTGGTGGCGGGGGCTGCCGCGGAGGACCACGTGTTTGCGATGCTGGACAAGAACGGGGACGGGCGCCTGAGCGTGGAGGAGCTGCAGGCGGCCATGTTGGAGCTGGGCGCGAGCGGGGCAGGCGACGCCGCGGAGCTGATGACGCTGCTGGACTGCAACACGGACGGCAGTGTGTCCCTCGCCGAGTTTGCGCTCTTCCGCCGCCGCATCGCCGTACTGCGCGACCTGCCGGACCGCGACGCCGCCATCCACGCCCAGCTGGCTGCCGCCTGGGCCGACCCGCCCGGCGAGGTCGCGGAAGCGTCGTACTGGCCCCTCTTGGAGGACGGCAACGAGAAGGGGGCGACAACAGGGCAGCCGATACCAGGAGCGCCCGGGGAGGGAGATGCCCAGAGGTCGCCGTGTGCGGAAGATGCAGACGAGAGGGGGGGAGCTGCTGCGGGGGCTGGCAACAGGGCGGAGGCAGGACCCAGACCCGAGGAGGGCGCAGCAGGGGCAGACAGAGGGGTGGAAGCCACAGGCGGCGCGGCCAACGCAAGCTGGAGCACAGGCGGGGACACGAGCGCCCGGCGCGCAGGGCTGGAGGGCAGCAGCCGGGAGTTACTACTGCGGGGTGTGCAGAGTAGCAGCCGCCCGAGCAGCGTGGCGGCCAGTGCGGGGAGGGTGGGGGGCAGGGCCCTGGGAGCAGGAGGTGCGCGCAGCGGCGCCCCGCGCAGCCAGGCCGTCGGGGCCAGCTTCGGAGGTAGGGGGGGCAGCGGCGTGGCCGCAGTGGCGAGCCGCGGCGCTGTTGCGGAGGAGCTGGTGGAGGAGCTGCGGCAGCGCGGGGGCCGCGCCGCAGGGGCCCCGCCGGCGGTGGTGGACGAGCAGGAGTTCCTGGTGGAGAAGGGCAGCGACCTGGACCGCAAGCTCAGCCACTACACCGCCTCCAGCGCCGCCAAGCCGCACCCGCACCCCAGCCCAACCCCGTCTGGCACCGGCCGCACTCCGGGGGGGGCCAACGGTGGGGCCGACCACGTGCTGACGCGGCAAGAGCTGAACCGGCGGCTGGCCGGCATCCCCAACGAGGGGCCTGCAGAGCTGGGGCTGGCGCCGGCAGGAGAGGGGGGAAACGGGCGAGCAGGGACAGAGGGGGAGCGCGGGCGCGGGCTGGCCCGGGCGCTGCAACGGGTGGAGCGGCAGATGGCGGAGGGGCGGTACGACGCTGCCCGCACACTGCTGAACGTGGTTGCGGAGCGGCACCCCGACGAGGGCCGCCTGTGGCTGCTCTTTGGGCACCTTGAGAGCCGCGACCCGCTTGGGGCGGGCGCCTCCCAGGTGTACGCACGCGCGCAGGCCTGCCTCGAGCGAGAGGCCACCGCCGCAAAGCAGAGGGGCGATTGTGCCGCGGAGGAGTGGCAGCGCGTGGAAGCGGACCTGGCCGAGGCGCGCGCGGCTCTGCGCAGCCTGTCTGCTGCAGTGGCCAC